TTTCTGTCTCTTCAGTCTGTGGCACACAAAATTCCTTAACAGCATCCCAAAACTTTCTAAAATTATCAGAACTAGAATATGCATACTGCCATCACCACATTAATTCACAAAAAAAAGAGTAAAAATTATCCTGTGTAATGCCAGGCTATCGGTAGCATTTCTTGCATGAACTTTTTTTGCAACAAACCCATTCAAAACCATCTGAATGATCTTCACGCTTGACCATATGCATTTCCTTCGCACAAACAGGACACTTATAATGACTACTAAGTAAACCTTCATTTACACACCAGTCAATTGCTTTTCCCCTTTCATTCTAATTCATACAGAAGCTTCAGATTAATCTCATCACATACAGATATTTTACGATGTATCGCACAAAAAAAGCAATTGACTGATGTGTAAATGAAGGTTTACTAACTTGACATCCAATGCAGAAGTAAGCCCTTACAAATATTTTCCCATCGGTCAAATTCACCATAATCACGCAAACAATTAAATCATAATAGAGTTTCCATAACATTCAACTACTCAGGTTACCATAAATGAAACAACAATTTGGCTATAAATGAAACAACAATGTTGATATGATTTATTAGAGCATATTATGCTTATTAATCTGATTCAAAATACATTAAATCCTCTCTTGATGACCAGCTCCCTCAGAATATTTCTGAAAGTGAGTAGTATTTCTAAGAACATACATAAGCATTAGTATTGAGTTTCCGCTTACTAAGATGATCTCTATTGAAGAAAAAATCATTTGGAAGCAAAAGTGGTCATCTAAAAGGGGTTTATAATTTTTCTTGAAATCCCATTTGGTGAAAGCTATGGCATGTAGCTGACTGCATTGTAATGGGCTTAAAGACTTACCATGGTTACAGGAAATTACAAAGAATATTGACATTATGTGCAGTACAGTGTTTATATAATATGCTTAAATACAGTAATTTTAAGTTATGAATAATTCACTATAGGACTACCAACATAAAATAAATTAATAATAAATTATTATATTTGGGATAAATAAATTATTATTTAGCTAGGATCTGCCAATATACTATCAGCAGTATAACTCACCATTCATTTTTATTGAACATTGCAGCAATCTAATATGCTGTTCCAAAGTGATGCCATTTTAAAATTTTTCATTTTTTTATGAAGGGGGGGGGCTTCTTTTTTTTCATTTAAATATCAGCCCTATGAGAGGATGTTCGTATCCACCTTGGATCAATTTTTTTGGTAACTTGGTAACTGTTTTCCTGCAGGAGTTCTTCAGGCTTACATTTTGTTTTGTGAATTTTTACTGCATTATGCATTTGCATTTTCCAGTTCTTATACAATAAAACTGCTCATGATAGAAAATCTATGGTACAAATTAATGTTTACAACTTCTGACAAGTTGTTAGAATAAGGGCTAGGAATTAAGCCTTCTTGTTATATAGTAGAGTTCATATGAGGATAGAGAATTTGTGTAGAATAATAATTTGTAATATGTAGTTTTGAATGCAATTATGAAATAATACTGGCTATAAAGTAAAAAAAAAGGTTTGATTGATTTGCTGATGCCAAAAATATTTTATTGCCCAAAGACAATAACTGATTGTTGGTGTTGCACTGGCAGGAGTTAGCTAATAACCAAATACCTAAATAATACTTACTGTATCAGGGTTCGTACGGTCCTGAAGAGTCCTTAAAAGTCCTTAGATTTTTTGGAATCGATTTTTGGTTCTTAAAAGTCCTTAATTTTGGCCAAAATCAGTAGAAGGTCCTTAATTTTAATCATCTGAAATTTCTGTCTGTTTTTACGACTGCCATTTTGAGTGTGAATTAGCATTTTGGAGGAATATTTTTTGCGATTCAGTGACATATATGGTTATCTTTTGAATGGGTTCGTGGTTTATAATTTGTTTCTTTTTCTAATAGAAATGATGAGATACTCGAATTTCTAAGCAAGAAGTAAAACATAAGCATTTTGAAATTAATTTTTTCTAATAAAGAGCTCTTAAACAACTTCTCGCTTTGGGGATGTGAATTCTTTTATTAAACGGCTTTAAATTTAGCGACTTATCAACATTTTGGCGATTTTAAGATTAGTTTTATAGAAAATTTTTTAATTCCGAGATCTGAGAATTTTTCGACGATTTTTTTTAAAACATCGTAACATTGATACATTTCATTAAAATAATGGTAATATATTGAAATTATATTTAAAAAATAAGATTAAAATAAAACATTATTATTTTTTGCTGTCATATTTTAAATTTTCACTTTGGCAACTTATTATACAATATTTTTAATCTGAAAAAATAAATAAGGTATAATGCTATAAAGCACAATTTACGAAACAGCTCTTAGCAAAAGCAAAATTAGCTATGTAATTAATTAAAAATGTCTTGTTTTTAATTTTTGCATAGTAAGAGTTTTTCCCATGTAATTAATTGTCTTGGATTATTCAAAATTCTCATAATGGGCATCAGTTTTCTCTATAAAATTAATTTTATACTTTTTCCCTCCCCCCCTTTTTTTTTCTCGAAATATTTCTATCTTTTTGCTGTTACAGAAATGATAGGGAAAATTTTTCTTTAGGATTTTAGACATTGCAGCTTGGAAAGTTTAGAAGGATTTGAAGGCAAGATTTATAGACCCACAATTCTAGAAGATTCGAGAAATATGTGACAAAATGAAAAATGTCTCCATGGTATCAACACGTAATGGATGTATTTTACAGAAAGTTTGCAATGAATTTCTTACTTTTTGGAGAATGTCTGGAAGGTCAATGAAAACATAATATTTGAATATTTTACTTCTGATGCTAGAATCTTATTTTCTCTACTTTTCACTAGACACAAGCATGGAAAATATCAAAAACGCTTCTAATCTTTTTACATGGGCAGGCATTATAGATAGGGATGTTTTTATTAATAAATAAATTGAAAACTTACAATTTAAAAAATTAATCTCTCTTAATGCATCATACACAGAGCTGGTACACATTTTTCCACCTTATGCAATCTGTGTGGATCCTAAATTCTGCTGTCTAGTGCCCTTCTAAGTTCTGCTTCCAATGTCTGCTCTAAATTCTAAAAGTTTTGCCATTTCTAGATTTTGTTGTTTGGTATGTCACTAAATTCTAAAAATTCTGGCACATCAGCTCTGTAACCGGCTTTTACAATATATATTTTATATTTCTTTTGAATGTTCATATTACTAAAGAAATAAAATTAGCCGCCTTTTGTATAAATTCTAAATGCATTTAGTGTTTTTTAGAATAAGAGAAATCCTTAATTAAATCCAGAAATTCTAAAATGAAAAGGAAACATGTTTAATCTTTGACCACTAGTCCACATTTTTGTTTGAATTAGGGTGTTCTTGTTTAATTACATCACCGTGAGCTGTAATTTATTTTGTTAGCATCAGAAAATGCCTTTATGTTCTAAGTTCTTTATTTTAAACGTTTGTCTGATGTTGTAAATACTTTCAGTCAGCGATAATATGCTTCACAACTGTCTGATATTTTGGACTATTTAACTTTTAACAGATCAAGTAAACCCTCATAGGTACATTATGGAGAGGTTGACGAGCATGCAGAAACTAGCGAGAGCATTGGTTTGCATAGTGAGACAAATCTTTAATTGTTAGAAAAGATGCTTAAAGAGAAGGAAATCGATACAAAGTAGCCAAAATGTTTGGGAAGGCTTCAAATTAAAATGACGGATAAATATTTTTTGAGTGTTGTTGTTAGAAGACATAAATGTTTAGTAGCTTTTACAGGGTAATTATCCTAATGTCATAAATTACATGTATTTTAAACTGTGATATGTTATTAGATTTTGATTTTAATAGTGTTTTTTTAACAAATTATTGCTAAAAAATCGAATTTAATAGTGGCCATGTAAATCCATAATGACTAAGGTATTCAAACTACCTACTTTAATTATTTATAACTAACTGCTTACCCTTAAAAATTATCCTTACATATTAAAGTGAATTATTGCCTTTCATTAATACTCACTGTGGTCACAAGATAAAATAATGTGTAAAAATTCAAGTAAAACTTATTCTTTGCATCTAGTGAGACTTAAAATAATGCAAAGCAACTTATCACCTCTGGTGCTTTAATGGCTTATTGGGAGTTTAAAGTATATTAACTGGGTTACAACCTCTCGAACTCTACACAAAGCTATGGCATTAACTACATCAAGCAGAGCTCGACTAAATTTTAGCACTTGCCAACCGTGCCTACATAGCCTTTCAGGTTTGTTCGAATCAGCATGTCTCTCTCTGGACAATCAGCAGCGGTGACAGCATTCAGTCTTTTAGGTTAAGAATCATGCTGATTATGATCTTACTTCTCATTTTAACCTATTCCATTATACATAAAATCTACCTGCTATTTACTAAACCTGTAGACTGACCAAGTATGCGACAAAATGAGACATAAAAAAAATCAACATAAAGCTTTTTAAATGGTAAATGTCACTTATTTCTTTCAAATATGTCCAATTATTATAAGTGTCAAATATTTAATGCTACTTGATAAATTGCATAAAGTTTATTTTATTCTCAAACTTTTAATAATTATGTTAATTAATTCATGCTTAGTAATACTGCATACTACTTAGGGATCTATTTCATTTTAGGATGGTATTACTAAAGTGAAATTCAGGCATAGATAATATTTTTAATTGAATTTATTCAGTTTCCATTTGCTCATAGGTCCTTAATTTTTTTCATTAATGGTCCTTAAAAGTCCTTAAAATTACTTAATTTCTGTGTGCAGAAATGTGTACGAACCCTGTGTATGCTACACTTAACGGTCATAGCAAGTATTTTCTTTGTATCTCATGTTCTTAAAAATGTAGACATTCTGACATTTTAAACTATTTTATAAGATTTAAGAATATTGAAAAATATCATACTCGTTCGAGTGGCTTCTTTGTGATGTTGATTATTGTTTATTGTTCTTTGGTGTTGCTTAATGAATATTTTGCTTTTAGGTGAAGTCTTCGTTCTAGATGATGGTGGTGAAGTAGATCTTGATTTAGGAAATTATGAAAGATTTATGGATATAAAATTGCACAAAGAAAACAATATTACTACTGGAAAGATTTATCAAGAAGTTATAAACAAAGAAAGGAAAGGAGAGTTTTTAGGAAAAACTGTCCAGGTATTTGTATACTTTATTGATTTTTCTCAAAATTGTTTGTTCACCATAATTTTGTTTAGTTAAATAAATTCACTTCAAGCTGTAATATGTCTTATTGGTATTTTATTTTTTTGATTTTTAAATCTTATATTTCCTTAGCAATTTTCTTGCAGAGAAAATGCATATCCTTATTGCCATTTGCATTTACTTTAGTCCTTTTCCTTAATAAATAAATTTTCATTGACTTCTGTTATGTTATTTTATTCAGCTACGTTTTTATTTTTCTTTCTTGTTTGTCAATTTTATTTTATTCACGTAAGTTGGATTGTTTAGCAGAATTCAAACCACTTCAGGTAGATAATTATGCCAATCATTTTTTTTGCCAATAAAATATGGAATTCTTCTTTATAGATTTGATAGGCATTTCAAAACACTAATTGTAAATAGAACATACATACATTTCAAAACACCAATTGTAAATAGAATATAACGAGGCCACAAAGGATTTTGTGCATTGTCATGCAATTTTTTATCTAATTTTTATTCTGTGGTTATTTCATTATATTTTTGTCTTGAGATGGATACCACATTTCTGGAAAACAGCTGTAACTTTTGGATCTGTCTGTTGCAAGTTCCTTAAATTGTGCTTACTTCTGGTCACCATTATTAGGCACTTAATTGAGAAATTGCAGAAAATGCAAAAAGCATAAATGTTCACAAGTATAAACACATGAAGTTGTGGAAAATAGAAATAATGCAAATGGCAATGAGAATGTATCTTTTATCACTGAAAATTTCTGCGGAGATAACTGAAAGTGATGATCATTATGAACACTGTATACTGAATCCAAGAATGATGATATATGTGACCTTTCATGATGTAAGATGCAAGTAAAGCTATTATACTTTCATGCATGTAAAGATATTAGATTAAATGACTTATTTACATTACCCAGAATATTTGAAAAAATGTTTCTACAAGCTTTATTTCTTTAAGCATAAATTCTTATTTTACTGTAATTGTGCTCCCAATTAATCTCTGCCTTATTTTACTATAATTGTGCTCCCAATTACAGTAAAATAAGGCAGAGAATTTAATGAGAGCAGTTTTGATATTGTGGGTGAAAAATTTTAGTTGTGTAAAATCTTTTTATATGACACATATAGGTCATTGGTAAATATGCATTTGGTGAAATAGTTGTTATACTGTAATTAGCAAATATAAAAAGTCCTATTCTTTTATGAGCAAAATGTGGAATGATATCAGAAAACAAATTTGCTGATTTGGAATGTTTCTTAGTGGATATTTTCGACTGAAATCAAATGTTCCCTGAACTTTAAGGAACAAATACAAAAAGTGGCTCATTTTAGTTGTTAATGGTTCTATATTGGATATAACAACAATAATTATATTAACATTGTAATTAGATTTAAGAAAATATTAATTATAAATAACTCATTAAATTTTACATATGAAAATATAGAACATTTTGCATTTAATTTATTAGTGTGTAACAAACTTTCTTCTAATCACACAGACTTTTTGCTCGATGGAGACTTCATAAAAAGCTAAATTTTGTGCATATGAAAGCATTCTACTTACAGTGCTAAAATTATTCTTTTGTTATTTTCAGAAATTTTTATAATTCTAAGACTCACTATTAGCCTGTATCTGGTGATATACTACCAACACCACCACTTTGCTGTCCAACTGATATTGCTGCAACCTTATAAAGTAATCTGGGTTCTTCTAGAAATATGCTTTTAATATAATAAATAATATTCTTTCATCATTATTAATTACTATAATAAATACTCTTTTCATCATTATTAATTTTTTTAGCTGAGGGTGAGGATGGCTTTTTAATATCAGTATCATCTTGAAACGAATTTGAGTAAGCATATATCTGATTTCATCATTTTTTAGTAATCCTTTTCCTGTAGAAAGTCCCTGACAATATTTATTCATATTATGCTATTTTTTACTGCGTTTTTCAACATGCATTTACCAGATTTGCCAAGATGCGAACAAAAACAATCTATTATTTTCTGGCATGTGGTATTTTGCTAAAAAACAGGAGTTTTCTAATTTTATATGCAGTCAAATTATATTGTGATAGAAAGTCAGACAATGGCATTGTAATTTTAACATCTGACAAAGTTTTCAGACTATTGGCCGATATTGAAAGTACTGTAAGGATTATGTTAATTTTATTAACAGTTAAATTTTAAGTTAAAGTTCCTGTCCTGTCAAATTCTTAACTTCAACTTACTACTTCCGGCTAGAACGTAGTTTTGGAATTTGCTGAATATTTAATGAGAAGGAGCGGTATTTAAACCGCGAAGTTACTTACTGAGTCAGAGAGAATCAGAGTTTCTGATTCCTTTTTGGCCACTCTCTTTCTCAAAGCTGTTATTACGCTCGGCCATACTCAGGCCCTTGCTAAGCTTCATAGTAAAATAAGGGGCCAACTCAAATTGAACTTTGATAGCTTCAGCTATACTTCTTTTAGTTAATCTTAGTTTTAGTTTAATTCTTAGTCTTTTTAGTTCAAGTCCAAGTGTGGGCTTTGCTTGTACACTCCCAGGCGGAGTTTTGTTAAATCTTATTGGAATAATAAAGGGTTAGTTACCCTTCTATCTTGTTGTTTCTTGTTACCGAATGCAAGCGATTATTCGCTTATCAGTTCTTAGATTCCTCACTTCCAACATTAACTTAGAATTCCAAAGTGAGGTACTCTATAGTAAATTTCATTACCAAAAGAAGCCAATGGAATTTAGTAATATATTGGCGGTATCAGCTAATACCCAAGTACTATTAAGTGCATGTCTAGGTTTTAAGGAAATAAAGCTTATAACTGTCATTTTTGGCCATCTCATGCAGAATCTATATTGCTGACATTCTGAATGGTGTGTATACAGTTAAGGAACATGGATCTAGTGTTTTGTCAAGCTGTATTTATTTACTTTTACCAGTTGATAGTGTATCACTTTTAAATTTTACATTTAGTTATTTTTTAATGTTCAATTACCGATTATTTTATGTTTTTCATCTTTGCTGTCACTTCTATCTTCTGGTTTCTCAGCAAAATACGAATTAACTTGCATGTATTAAGCTGAAGTTTTTAGATTGTAAGACAGAACTACTGCTCTCTAGGTTGCTGCTAGCTCAGCTAAGATTTAGCCTTCGGCCTTGTTTTATAATTGCCAATATCTGAATATCTACGTCAATTAGATTGGTGAGCCAATTTCATGTTAATCTGATTTGTGTAACCTTTGGCTACTAGCTTACTTAAATTAAAATTTTACATTTGACTTCAATTTTAAGTCATCTCACCACAATTGGTTGGCTGAGTTATAAAAGGACAAGAAGTGTATTTTATGTTCAATTTCTGATTTAATAAAAAGTTTTGTTTTAAAATAATCTTAAAACTTTGTCCCTGCTATCCAAACATAGCGATAATTCGTTTAACGTCTGTTAAGAGTTTGATATTACTTTATTTTAACAAAACAAGTTAAACTTCATAATTTGTATTGTAAGTTTATATGCAAATTATATCTCTGTCTAGCTTAAAATCTATAAAGTTATTCTTGAAAAAAATTTTTGTTTTATCATAACAGTTAACATCACATTTAAAGGCCAAACCAAACTGGTCTAGTTTTATGTAATCTTCTTACTGGGTCATTTATTGCAGTTAAATTACATTTGTCAGATAATAATTATAAATTCATTTATTTTAAAACTGACATACTGTGTTGATAACTTTAAAGTTTTGCCACATAACTTTTGTACTTGAATTTAGTGTCTAAATATTATATCATCTAAAATCTGAAATTAAAAATTTCGGATATTAGCTTTACTTTGTACATTTATTTTTACAAGAATCGTTTTTGCATAAATCCTGATGTTATAAGGATATTTTCCTTTTCACAATAAAAGGAAATGGTACTTAATGTATTATAGTAACCACTTTAGTAGAAATTGTCAAAGCTTCTGATTACACTAAACTTTAACCACATGCATTTTCAACATCACTGTTTTCATATGTGTTCTTTTTGTTATATTCCAAATTCTAATGGTTTTTGGTCTAAAAATTATGATTATTTTTGTTTTAATCTTAAAATATGTGCTTATAGAGTTTTCCTATACCAGAAGAAAGAGAAGCGAAATTTCTGCAGGAATACATTATCTTGGTAGCAGAAGTCTTTCTCAAAGTGATTACTATTGAAATTTGCAATAAATATGCAACAAAAATCTTTTGACTAGGTTTACCAATTGTCTTCTGAAATAAGTATTTTGTCGAAACATAGAATATGTATGCAATATATAATTTTTTACAATGTTAGTAACTTAGTTAGTTCTTTTTTCGCATACTCGTTTGGCAGCTACAAGACCCCTTTGTTGAAAAAATGATATGGCGTTCACCTTATTTATTCATCATTATTCATCACCATTATTCATCATTATTCACCTCATTACTTGAAAAATTAAAGATTGTTAACATCATATTTACAAAAAAAGTAACTAATATATTTTTAAATAAATAATGTGAATTCAAAGACCTCATAAAAATGAATAATGTGAGTTGTAAAATTTTCCAGACTGTGCCAAGATGGTTGCAATAATACATAATCACAAGGACAATATCCTTATAATATCAGAATTACTGACTAGATATAATTTGATAATGTCTTATTTAATTACAGAAAGTACTTTTTCTTAGATGATCATGAGTTTAATATTAGTACTATCACTGACATGTATAAAAAATTACTAAACCTAGTGGCATCTGAATTCATCTGCAGTGAAAAGAAAATTTGTAGCGGCCCCCAACTATATTTGGTGATTTTAGTAGATTTGCACCAAGATCTCAGCTATAATTTCACCAAGCTTGTGAAGCATGAATATAACAACATAATATATAATAACAATAATACTGACATGTCATTTCCTAAGAATATTTTTAAGAATCCTTATTATAGTTTTATCACATGTAGTAGTTGTTCCAGTAAACTACAGCACTTTCACAGAGTAAACTGTAACACATTCACCTATATTAAATTGTTTGTTACACCATTTCATGGATGTGAATTCCTCTGCCCAAGAAGACATAAATCAAATGATACTATAGAACTGCTGAACCAGTTTCCAATACAGAGGCCCTTCTTTTTGCAATTTTTAACATTGCACCTCCAAATGGTTTCATCATTAACATAAAGTTTCATGTTGTGTCAATTTTCGCATACTCGTTTGGCAGCTACAAGACCCCTTTGTTGAAAAAATGATATGGCGTTCACCTTATTTATTCATCATTATTCATCACCATTATTCATCATTATTCACCTCATTACTTGAAAAATTAAAGATTGTTAACATCATATTTACAAAAAAAGTAACTAATATATTTTTAAATAATGTGAATTCAAAGACCTCATAAAAATGAATAATGTGAGAACATGTGAAGGAGCAAAAATGCAACACAGTGCTAATGTATGACTACATGGTGATGTGTAAGAATATGTAACCAATGCTGATATATGATCATGTGGTGAACACCAGAACAGCCAGATTTTTTTCAAGATGTCTCGTTTGATTGGCTATTCAGTCTTGGGGGCCACTATAACAAAGAAGTACTGAAAAATTTAACGTCTAAAAATTATTGCATTTTAAAAAGTGTAATTTGTTTTTGATTATATAAACAAGTAGAATATTCTGTTTAGAAACACTGAATTGTAATTTATTTGTATATTTTCATAAAAATATATGAATGTTTAATAATTTAATATTTATAATGTTGTTTGGTTGTGTTATCAATAAACGTAATTAATGTATTCATTTAATTGTGTCTGTTGGTGCTTAAGCTGAATTTGATATCCTTTAAAATTTTCTAATTTTAAAAATCAGTATGGATCATTGTCTATAGCATATTTGAAACTATATTCAAAATCATTGAGCTGTTGTAAAGCCTTTCTCATATATAAGCCATTATGAATATTAGCTCATCTTTTGCTAACATAGAATGTATCTTCAACTCAGCTTCACCCCTCAGGGGGCTCACTTTTGTGAGTACGGGTGTGACAATCCCGAGGTACCCTAGCCCTTCAGGGGATCATCTTGGTGAGCGGGTGTCACGATCCTGGAGCCCCAGTGATCTATCCTCTTTTCCGTCTCCTCTCCTCTTGGGTGGAACTTTTTGCCTTCCCTTCTCCCTTGTGGTTTCTCTCTTCGAAGTTTGGGGTTCGTCACGAGAGACTAGAACAGCCCTTGTCTCTAGTTTTCGAGTGGCGAGAAAACTGCCCACGTGTTTGCTGTGCGTGGAGACCCGTGTCACCGGAAAGGAGGGTCCTGGTAGTTGAGGGGTGAGGTACTGTCCCCAACACACTGCTTTGGCCTCTGCTTCAGCTAAACGGAAGGCACCTTAGTCGTCCTCACGGGTGTCAATCGGCTGGTCACTAGTCCTTGTGTCAGTGGCTTGGGGTCAAGCTCTCGGAGTACCTGCTTTCGGGAAAGCCGACTGTGGGGCTTCAGTTTGCGTATAAGTCCGGCTAGCCCTAACACAGGAATCTGCGTTCCTTTGTTGGGCTCCGTGGTGGGTGGGGCCGTCGGACCCAAATTTTTTTCTTTTTTCAATATGGCAAACTCGCAAATATTTCTGATTAAAGACTTCGAAGTTAGTCAAGTCGGTCAAAGCACCAGCTCTGAAAATTCTGCTAAAAAAGTATGTACAGATATAAATAAAAAACATCCTAACATTAGTCCCCGTTTTTTGGTTATCTGTAGTCCTCCTGGCGAACTGCAGAAAATGTTTCCTTTCGTAATAAATAAATACATCCAGTCTTGTGTTGGTGAACTGAAAAATATAAAGCGTCTGCGCTCTGGAGGCCTCCTTATTGATA